TGACCTAAATGGGAAGGAAATCCATAAAAGAGGGGATATATGTATACGTATAGCTGATTCACTTTGCTGTACAGCAGAAACTAGCACAATATTGTAAAGCAACTATACTCCAATAAAATTTTTTTTAAAGTTAAAAAAAAATAAAGTGGAGAAAACAAAAGTGGGATGTGTCAAAAGGACACAGGAACCAACCTGAAAGAGCTTCCAATTACAAAAGCTGAAACAATCTGAGCAACAAAATAGAGTATTTGATTATAACCCAAAGAATATATAAATATCCTTGAGTCCACACTAATAAAATGAATGATTGAATCAACACATAAATGGGGACAAGAAACAACTCTTCCTTTCAGAAGAATTCTGATAAATGAAAGTAGAAGAAATAGAAAATTACTACCAGAACACTACAGTAGTAACTGCTGCAGGCAAGACCCACTGATGAACGCTAAAATTAGTGTCAGAAGGTTTAAGGAGAAACAGGATATTTGTACATCCTCCAAGTACCTTCCCCCCAATTTTTACTAATTACAGAGGGAAACATGGTAACATTACAGTGGAGAAACTTGGAAAACACCACCTAAACTGAGGGGTCGAGGTTAACAACACTAAGAATAAGACAGATCAATATCACATACCCCATAACGTGATGCACTAAGAGCGGCATATCCCCTCAGAATCCCCAAAATCATATCTTCAGTGTAACTACGGGAAAACAGCAGACAAACCCCAAATTGAGGGTCAGTCTACAGAACAGTTCTCTTCAAAAGTGTCAAGGTCATGAGAGACAAGGTAAGACAGGGGAACTGTCACAAATAAGAGAAGACTAAGCAGACAACTAAATGTAACGTGGGATCCTGGAAGGATTTTAGTGGAAACCTCGTGAAATCTAAATAAAGTCTGTAGTTTGGTTGTTTCTTTTTTTTTTTCTTTTAATGCATGTAAGGAGTTTGATCAAAATTGTTTCTGGAAATGTGATGGAGACCTCAAAGCAATATTTAATGTCTTAGCAGCCGCATGGCACAGGGATATCGGCTCAGTGCTTTGTGACCGCCTGGAGGGGTGGGATAGGGAGGGTGGGAGGGAGGGAGACGCAAGAGGGAAGACATATGGGAGCATATGTATATGTATAACTGATTCACTTTGTTATAAAGCAGAAACTAACCACTATTGTAAAGCAATTATACCCCAATAAAGATGTTAAAAAAAAAAGAATAAAATTCCAAAAGTGACATTAGCAACCATTCTAGAAGAAGCACACAGCCTCTGTAGAAATACAAGTAAATTCGCTCTTTTTCCTTAAAAAAAAAAATTAATATCTTCATTAAAATGATATATTTGTGTCTTAGTTTAGCAAATAAAAACTGTTAGTAGACAGAGGAAGATGGGGTGTATGTGGCTCTGTGCAAGGGAGTCTGCTCTGACGATCTCTGGGAGGCCTGGAAAGAAAGGGGTGTGCCCATGAGCTTCCTAAGGGCCCATGGGAGATAATCGACTTCTGGGCTGTGGGCACTTCACAGCCACTGCATTATTTTAAGCCACAGCAACCCTATGAGGGGGGGTGTTATTTATAAATAATTCCAGTTTACAAATAAGGAAACTGAGTCTGAGTGAGACTTATTAAGATATAGCAGCCACAATTTGTTGAGTGCCCGCTACAGGTAGAAATTTATTATTTCATGGCATTCTTGCAAAACGAGGTAGATGCAATTATTATGCCCGTTTTAGAGATTGGGAAGCTGCAGCTTAGAGAGAGGAAGGGAACTGGCCAAGGCTACAGAGCCAGGAGGAGCAGAGCCTGGGAGCCACGCTCCTCCGGGGCTGTCTCACCCTCTGCCACGCACCCCACTTCACACCCAGCCCAAACCCAGCACAGAGCCCACCATGGACCTAGAATTGAAGCATAATTACAGCAAGTCAGTTCGCACCTCCAGACACCGTTTCCCTTGGAAGGAGACAGGGAGGCAGAGGCACAGACAAGGACAGATAAGAACAGAGAAGAGACAGAGCAGAGAGTCTGAAAGAGGTGTGGCCACCTCTCAGGGCAACTCGGACTCATGGTCTCTGGGGCTGGGTTCTCAGAAACACATCATTTCTGACAAAAGAGCAGAGTCAGATGAACACCCCTCTGTGCCAGACTGCATCTCATGGCATTGATATTGCCAAGGAAACCAGCCCTCAACGGATCCCGAGAGCTATTCTTCTAAAGAGACAGTGTTGTGTACTTCTTGAAAAAATTATCGGAGTTTTATTTCTTTTCTTTCTTTTTTTTTTTTTTCTGATTGCGGTACACGGGCCTCTCACTGTTGTGGCCTCTCCCGTTGCGGAGCACAGACTCCGGACGCGCAGGCTCAGTGGCCATGGCTCACGGGCCCAGCCGCTCTGCGGCATGTGGGGTCCTCCCGGACCGGGGCACGAACCCGTGTCCCCTGCATCGGCAGGCGGACTCTCAACCACTGCGCCACCAGGGAAGCCCAGAAATTTATTTCTTATTCTTCCTCCACATGAATTCCCCCTGGGATTAAAGCCCATCGTAGGGATGGAGGGGGGATAAAGTGATTCACAGCAGCTCCAAGTGGTCTTTCAATTTTCCAGAAAAATATACATCTCCCTAATATGTTCAAACCTGATTGACTGCTGGGAACACCCCAGGCGCCATTCCTGCCTCTCCCCAAGGTGAAGCGATAGTGCCTTCATTTATCTCCCTCCCCCTCTCCCTGGCCTGGACCGTGAGCCACAGGGCAGTAGCAGCAGCTTCCTGTGCCTGCTTAATCTTCGCATCCAGCACTGGCACTGGGGAGACATCCCAGGGGCATCTGTGAGGGGCAGCCTTGGGCTGTCTCCTCGGCACATTTATGAGGCTGTTCCCATGGCCTGGGAGGACGGCTCTGCGGTGTCTTCTCTCCCCCTCCTGATTTCTTCCTGTCAAAATGCAAAATCCTTCAAGATCCAGGTCTAAGTTCAGTTCCTCCAAGAACCCCAGGCTGGCACCCCACTGCCACGCTCTCCCCTCCTGAGAACTTCTGTCCCAGCTCCTCTCCTGCACACCTGATTGTCTGACCTCCCCAAAAACTGTGAGCATCTTGAGAGAGGTTCCCACTGCTGGAGAGCAGATTAAAAAATGAGCAAAAGCCACGAACAGATCTTGTTCTACAAACCAAGGCACTGTTTTTATCATCATCTCCTGGTTCCCCTTGGCCCTTTGTCAGCCAGCAGCGCCCTGCAAAACCCCATCCTCCAAAACCCAGGGCAGCTTTCCCCTGACCAATACCCCTTTGGTTAAACTCTTCTAGAACCAATCTCCCACTCCTTGGATATTTGTGGGAGGAGTTAAGCATCCTCCTTTTTTCTGATGAGAAAATTCCAACTCCGCCAAGAATAGCACATGGCCCCAGGGTCGGTCCTAAAATCAGAAATCTCTGTCCCCGTCTCCTGTCCCTGACGTTCTCCCTTCCTTCCAGTCGTACTCCCAGAGCCTGTTCATTCCAGAGAAAAGATAGCTTTGGTTTATTTTTTGAGGCAATGGAGTGGCAAATCCATTTATGACAGAATGTTTGAACATGTGTTCACTAAGTCTTTAGCTGACTTTGCGTAATTGAGAAAAATAGTGGGTGTTTATGCATTGGCCATAAGGATGAGGCTACCTCTGAGAGTGGGAGGCCAGCCCACAGCCTGGCCCTGCCTGCCTAGCTCACCAGTCTCTGAACAGAGGCTGCAGTCTAAGGCCTTATGGGTGCAGGTGCAGTTGGCTAAGGCCCGTTTGTGCTCAGCTGCCTTTGTGCAGGGGCCGTGCTACTTCTCTCCTCCTTCCCTCCAGCAATGCCTGCATGGCCACCACCCCCAGTGCAGCAATGAGACTGGGGAATCAGCCTCCAGCTCTGCCCACATTCAATCTTGACCTCTCCCCCAATGGTCTGCCATCTGAGGTTGAGAAGAGCTGTGAACACAAACTAGAAACTCCCAAGCAAAAGGCAGAGATAAGCGGTTACTGCTGGAATGGCCCTGTGGTTGAGAAGCTGGTACCCAAATATGTGGGTTGGAATCACGCCTCAGCCGCTTCCTAACTTCAGGTCTCAGGTGGAGGTGCTGCGCTGCTCTTTCATCTCAAAATAGGTGTGATGATGACATGATGACAGTGATGTTGAGTATGGGGGTACCTACCTCACGGAGCTGGTGGAAGGGTTACAGGAACCAGGATGCTCAAAACGCTTACTGCTTGGAATGTAGAAAGGGACCTTTAAATGTTTGCTATCCTTAACATTCACTGCTGATACTGAATTCAGGCTGAGAATAAGCTAGTTCGCTTTTATAAGTGTGACGTGACTTTCTGAGGCATGAACCTTGACAGCATTGCTTTGGGGTCTTACAGAAGCAGTCGAGGGGGATAAAGTAGTCACACACACCTGGGTTTGAATCCCAGCTCATCCGCTGTAGCCCCAGGGCATCTCTCCATCCCTCTGAGCCTCAGTCTCTTCATCTGTCAAATGGAGACCAATAATCTCTACCTGCCTAGGTAGTAATAAGCCTTAAATGAGCTCATTATGAAAAGGGACCACTCATCACCCACCAGCTTCCTCCTTAAGCTGTTGGCCAAATGCATTCTGTCAATGGTGCCCTCAGACTCTTCTTGTGCCAATGTCTGTTTCCACATCCGACCCTACCTCCAGACTTCAGAGAGTGAATATGTGTCATTCGTGGCTGAATGCCCCATGCCCAGCACAGCCTGGCCCTCTGCAGGAGCTCAGCAGATGCTCATAGGATGAAGGATGTTGGGCTGCAAGATAAGAGCCAGGTGCACCTCTTGGTCCTTTGCCTTTGACCTCAGCGTCATTTCAGACCCATTCGGCTGAGGATGGAGTTCCCTCCACAGCCCAGATCCAGCCCCAGCCTAACAGGACACTCTGCCCCCAGAGCTCACCCATCCTCGGGGACCCCTGCCCCCAGCATCTTCCCCAGCAGGCTCACTGAGCAGAAGATAAAGAAAAATGCAAAGGAAGGTCAAGACCCAGACACATCTATCTTTATTTGTTTCCTGTCAGAAAAGTCCAAGGATTACACCAAAAAATACTTCAGCCTCTGCTACCTACCGACAAAAATACACCACAAAATTATAAAGCGCTCAGCAGTTTTGCTAGGGACAACTTGTTATTCCGCTTTAGATGACCAATGAATTTACAGGTGACTCGAGGTGACTGAAGGGTGGGGAGGGAGGAAAAGTCAGATGATAGCTTTCAGCAGACTAGTTTGAGCTACGCTTGTCTTATTACCCAGCTATCATGTACGATGATTTCAGCATCACAGCAAAGCCACACACGACAAAGTGCCCTTTAAATGGCCTGTTTGAGCTTCGAGGGGAGCCAGTACCACATCTCATACAGCTTCTCCCAGCCAGTGCTAGCTTTGCTGGACCTGGAGCCAACGCCACACAGAGGGGCTCTCCCCAAAACGTTTGCGGGAGAGCCGCGTGGAAGCGCGAGGTGGGACCAGGGCCACGGGAGGCCTGGGCAATGTCAGATGCTGCCTCCTGGCTAGGAGCTTCCAGAACCAGACTGCGGAGTTTGGACGGTGGCCCCTGTCAACACAAAGGAGTGGCCAAAAGACGGCCACAGGTCTTAGCTTCCTTTAGAAATGATTTGGCTTTGCTGCAGCTCCAGTGAAAAGTCTCCCTGGCTGTCACCTGAGGTTCCTGGTTAGGACCCTTCCTGTTCTTCCTCGTGTTATTAGCACTTTGGAAAACAGCAAACAGACACAGATTTTAAACTTGGGTGCTGTGCTTATAGCTTGGCCAAATGTCACATGCCCACGCTGGGCTTTCTTCCTGCAGCCTCTCCTTCCTTCTCTTTCTACTCCTTCTGTCTCCTGGGCAGTACCCAGGTGTAGGGCTAGAAACACAAGAGAAAGACAAAGAAAGTCTGCCCGCTGCTCAGTGTTTCTTATACCCTACACATCCCTAGGCCATGCAGCCCGGCCCCAGCTCCAATGCCCATACAGACAAGTTTGTGCTAACTTTGCAAAACACACGACGCGGTGGAGGCTTTTCTCTCTGGGTTGTATGCATCCTGGGCTTATAAATGCCAAAATCAGTCCTTCTCTCCAACTCAGCGGTTCCTAACTTCCGGTATTCCTCCCCTGCAGACCGGAGGCCAAGGCAAGCAGCCCCACCTGCATCACTCACAAGTTCTGTACCTTCCGAAGCTCACACTGAAGCTACCATCTCTCGTCTAAGAAGCCCAGAGCATCTGTGCTCTTTACTACCCTTCAGTGTCTTCCAGGTGCAGCCAGTCTAACTCTTTTTTGTTCATTTTCTTTGTTTCTTTCCTCTTCTGTTTTTAAATTTTCCTAACAAATAATAAGCAGTGGCTTTGAAAATATCTTACATGGGAACAGTCAACACGAAACATGCCTTTGTACATGAGCCTGACTCGGGGACGAATCAACCATACCAAAGGACGAAAAGAAATATTGATTCAGACAACTCCAGTGCAGGAGATTTTCGGTGAGATCCCACCCCCCCCCCCCCGGCCCCACCCCCGCCCCCATATCCCGGGAGTACAGTGTTGTCTTGTAACTGGAGCTTGGCTTAGCCCACGGGGGTCCCCCTCTCCGCCCCCGATTCTGGCTGGGGGTGGGCCTCTAATGGCCCTGGGTCTTGGGCGGCTTGGGCTCGTGGATGACGGCGGCTGCCGACAGCCACGGCCCGATGGCCCGGGCAGTGCTCTGCTTGGCCACGCTGTAGTGGCTGATGACCGTGTAGAAGCGGCTTCTGGAACTGGGGTCCTGGGATGAGTAGTAAGCATCCAGGGAGGCCGGGATACAGCGCTTGTGCTAGGGGAAGAGAGAGACAGAGTCAGGGGTAGCTCAGTGGACTGCTTCCAACCCGCCCTGCAACACGGCCACCCCGCCTGGGGCCCACAGGCACGCCAGGCTCTCAGCCAGAGGGCGGGGGATGGTACCTGGCCTGCGCCTGGCCCTCATCAGGCTTTCCCCAGCGTCATCACCATCATCAAAGCTGCCACCTACTTGAAGCCAGAAGAAACTAACCTGATGCTAGGTTGTAGGTTCCCAGAGGTGGAGAGGTGGTAGGAGAAATGGGTGAAGGTGGTCAAAAGGTACAAATTTCCAGTTATAAAATAAATAAGTCCTGGGGATGTAATGCATAGCATGGTGACTGTAGTTAATAATACTGAAAGTTGCATTTTTGAAAGTTGCTAATAGAGTAGATCTTAGAAGTTCTCATCACAAGAAAAAAATTTGCAACTATGCAGGGTGATAGATGTTAACTAGACGTATAGTGGTGATCATTCTGCAATATATACAAAGACTGAATCATTATGTTGTATACCTGAAACTAATATAATGTTATATGCCAATTACACCTCAATAAAAAGTAAAGAAGAAAGAAAGGGAGAGAGAGAGAAGGAGGGAGGGATGGAGGGAGAGAGAGAGGAAGGAAGGAAGGAAGGAAGGAAGGACGGGAAGGAGGGAGGGAGGGAGGGAGAGAGAGAGGAAGGAAGGAAGGAAAGGAGGGAGGGAGGGAGAAGGAGAGATGGAGGGAGGGAGGGAGAGAGGGGAAGGAAGGAAGGAGGAAAGAAAGAGAGAAAGAAAAAGAAAGAAAGAGAAAGAAAAGAAAAGAAAGAAAGAGAGAGTGAGGGAGGGAGAGGAAGGAAGGAAGGAAGGAGGGAAAGAGAGAAAGAAGGAAGGAAGGAAGGAGGGAAAGCAAGAAAGAAGGAAGGAATGAAGGGAGAAAGAGAGAGAGAAAGAAAAGAAAGAAAAAGGGAGAGAGAGGGAGGGAGGAAGCTGCTGCTGCTACTAATTCAAGGTCAACATGCTCTGCTTACTGACTGTGCGGTTACAGTAGACACTTGGTAGCTCTTTACCTGGCTGATTCACCCACCCCCTAACTCCTCCTCTGGGCCATTGCCTGCAGCCAACTGCTGTCCATTTCGTTCCCTTGATTGGATAGTTGTAACTCTTTTCTCTTATACCAAAAGCCTTGGTTCCTGACAACATTAATATAATTATATATTTGCCTTATCCTACAATATATATCAAATGGTCACAAAATAACAGCAATATTATGAGTAATAGTTAGACTACTGAAGGAACTATAGGATTTCTCTGCAGCTCTCTGTGTCCTTAGAATATATGCCACTGAGGGTGTACAGTCAATATACTGCATTCTACAGTCATTTGGAATATTTATTTTCTTGGTAAGTTTATGTTCCCAACTTGATATACAGCTAGATTTTAGCTTGTATTTAATTTCAGGAATTATTTTTTATTTATTTATTTTTACAAATACATCAAACATTGATACACATCGAGGACGAATGTAGAGCAAGATACATCCAGAGAAGCCTTGCTCCCCAGCCCTATTCTTTCTGTCCCCTCCCTGCCCACCTGAGTCACCATTTTTCTTACTTTTTAAAAATTTATCCATCCAGAATTTCTTTCTGAAAATAGAAGTAAACATCCCTGACCTCCCCTTTTCTCACTCCAATGTAGCACATTTTTTTCTTCACTATTATCCTGGAGAGTATTCTGTGTCCATGTCTGGAGCCCCCCCTCACTCATTTTCACGGTTGTTTGAAATTCCATTGTGCGGATACATCATAGTTTATTCCACTGTCTCCTATTGACAGTTGTTGCCAATCTTTCAGAACCTCAGCTTCTAACAACTAAAAATGTCACCTTAGGAAGTCATGTAGCAGAACCAAAGGACATGTGTTTTTTTTGTTATTTTGTTTTTTGGTTTTTGGTTTTTGTTTTTGCGGTATGTGGGCCTCTCACTGTTGTGGCCTCTCCCGTTGCGGAGCACAGGCTCCAGACGCGCAGGGTCAGCGGCCATGGCTCACGGGCCCAGCCGCTCCACGGCATGCGGGATCTTCCCGAACCGGGGCACGAACCCCGTGTCCCCTGCATCGGCAGGCGGACTCTCAACCACTGCCCCACCAGGGAAGCCCAGGACATGTGTTTTTAAGACAGAACAGTCCCCATTTGATTCCCTCACTTTGAAACATAACATCTGTGATGTCTTAGAAAACTCATAACAAAACGCTCTTAATCTCCGTTTCCTCAGATGTAAAATGGGGGCAATGAAACCTATTTTTCAGAATGGGTGGAGAGCTCAACTGAGATATTGTTTATGAAAATGTCTAGGTAGGGGGTGACATATAATGGGTACTCAGTAAATGGTAATTTATAAATATTCGTTTCAGCTCTGAAATGTTACTACCACTAACATTTGTCGAGAGCCCATTCTCTAGCAGGCCCTTTGCTAACCGATTTTATTTAAATTTTCTCCAAAATCCTGTGGGCAGACATTATTGACGCCCATTGCAGGCGAGAAACCTGAGGCTCAGAGGGGCGAGAGGATGCCCGGGGCTCATGCAGCCAGTTCAGTTTTGCAAGGGAAGGAGCACAGTCAGAGTGAAGGTGACGGGGAAAGGGCCCAGCTGCAGGATTGGGGGAGGCCACCTCAGAAGCTCTGCTCCCTGTCTTCACGTCTCTGCAGGAAGAAGAAACCAGCCATCAAACCAGGAAGACTCACACCTAGGCAGAGCGCTCTGGAGACGGAAGTCTATTTGCAGCAGGAGTGAGCTCTCCCAGATGCGGATGGGCAGTCCGAAGCGAGGGCCATCTGGGAGGAGGCCCTCTACTGCCTATTTGAGACCGAGTCCTTCATGCAAGCCTGAAAACTCCTTGCCAGACATTTATGACTTTTTTTTTCTTGTAATTTTTTATTTCATATCAAAATTTATTGTGAAGATACAACTTTTTAGGAAAAAATTTTAGATTGCCACCATCAGTTTTGTTTTGGTGTTACTTATGCATTTCTTTATACTAACTTTTTTACGTATTTCAACGCCTTTATTGAGTGCATAAAGTTTTCTTTTTTATTGAGGTATAGTTGATTTACCATATTTTATAAGTTTCAGGTGTATAATTTCATGAGTCACAGTTTCTACACTTATAGTTAGTATAAAGTATTGGCTATATTCCCTGTGCTGTACAATATATCATTACAACTTAACTTATTTTACACATAGTAGTTTGTACTTTTAAATCCCCTACCCCTATCTTGCCTCTCCCTACTTCCCTCTCTGCACTGGTAACTACTAGTTTGTTCTCTATATCTGTGAGTCTATTCCTTTTATGTTATATTTACTAGTTTGAGGTATTTTTTAGATTCCACATACAAGTGATAGCATACAGTATTTGTCTTTCTCTGTCTGACATATTTCACGTAGCATAATACCCTCCAAGTCCATCTGTGTTGCTGCAAATGGCAAACTTTCATTCTTTTTGTGGCTGAGCAATATTCCATTGTATATATGTACCAGGCTTCCTTATCCATTCATCATGGATGGACACTTAGGTTGCTTCCATATCTTGGCTATTGTAAATAGTGCCGCTATGGACATTGGGGTACGTGCATCTTTTCAGATTAGTGCTTTCATTCTCTTTGGACACATCTCACATTTTAAACAGTCTGTAGGGAGGTTGCCATACCCAGATTTTAAATGTCAATGAAAAGAAGACATTGATAAGCCCTTTAACTGAAGCTGACAGTCACCTGGGCCACTCCCCTGCCAGAAGCCCCTTACCTTATAGACAAATCCTTCTGGGCAGCTGTGGTCATAGGTGAAGGCTTTGTAAACCACCAGGAACACGATGCAGGCGAGGAAAGCTAGGGCCAGGCTGACGAGGATGGTGACCTGGAGAAAACAAAACAGAATCCTCCAGCCTCAGCTTGCCTGCCTTCCATCCACATGGTGCAGCCTTCGAAACCCAGAGCCAATAGGCAGCCTGGTATGTTAGAAAGAGTAGGGGGTGGCCAGGGGCCCAAAGAACCAGCTCTGTCTCAGCTCTGTCACCAACTTGGAGTGTGAGCCTGAGCAAGGCATCTGCAGTCTTTGGGTCTCGGTGTCTCCTTCTTCCAGAAACTCTCGGAAGCTCCGTCTTGGCCCAATGTGTGATTTCCACCCCCTCCCCATTTACTTTTCCTGTTAATTCTGTGGGGGCAGGGAGATGACCATTAAGCCCTCACTTACGGTGTTCCTGCCTCCCATCACCTCCCTCCCTGCCACTGCTGAATTCCAGTCTCAGGTATCAATGCTCATTCCACCTCCACTTGGATGTCCAGTACTCACCTGAAGTGCGTTCTCAAACAAAACTCCTGCTTCCCTCCCATCCCAAACCTGCTCCACGCCCCGCATTTTTACCTATCTCAGGAAGTGTCAACCCCACCTTTGCAGTCACTCAGACCAAAAAGTTTGAAGTCATCCCTGACTCTCTTCTTCTCCCATTCTATGTCCTAGTTACCAGCAGAAGCTGTCATTTCTGCCTTCCAACACATCCATAATCCAATCACTTCTGACCCACTAAATCATCTCTTTTGTGGCCAAAGCCACCATCACCTCTCACCTGCAGTACTGAAACTGCCTTCTAACTAGGGGCCTCCTCGACCCTTACATGTATTCACACACAGCAACCTGAGAAGTCCATTCAGACTTGAAGTCAAAGCATGTCCCTTCTCTGCTCAGAAGCATCTAATGGTCTCCACATTGCTCGTAGTGAAAGCCCAGCTCCTAACCATTATCAACAAGTAAGCTTTAAAACAAATACAACACCAAACAAACTGAAGTCACCAACAGGATTTACCAGAAAGGACTAAGTAGCTAATTTCGGAGGCACCTCCAGGTTTGCACTGGCCCCATCCCACCACCTGTGTACAAAGCGGTAGGGTAACCCCCATGATGCTGGGCACCTAGTGTTATACGCAGGTGTAATATGTCATGTTATTTTTAAAGCTGCTGGGCTTTTCAGTCAGTTGGCCTAGAAATATGGTAGAATTCCTATCATGGAGAGAAGTCTTATTGTGATTCAGAAGAAAAATAAAATCAACTTTGGGGTGGGGGGCGTCCCTATCCCATCTCCTTCCCACCTCAGGACATGGTTTATAAGGACAGGAGGAGATGGGATTCTACATTACTCCAAATGGAGTCATTTGTTAGCAGCTGTAAATACTGGATGGAAGGAATTTGAAAAGGAAAAGAGGAAGATGGGTGTGGGAGACGTCCATCTGAATCCTATGGGCAGACACTGTCTGTGAGAAGTTCCTGTGCATGTGTGTATATGAAGTTTTAGGACGATGTGCTATTGTGATGTAAGAGATAAATCTATTTGGTCTTGTTCCCGGTTCCTGGCACAGAGCTAAAATACTTGTAATTTCCTAAGTGATAAGAGCAGGGTAGCAGCATCTTTTGTTGTAATATTTGGTTTTTGTGCCCAGTTCCTGAAATAACTCTGATCCATAAAGGTGAAAGGAGCAGCTTCTATTATTCATAACAACCCCCTTTCAACTACATCTGAGTTAATGTTGTTATATTATGTTATGAGGTAACTTTTGGAAAGTCCCTAAGGATGGGGGCTGGTTGCCAGAGGAACTAACCATTGATTGGAGCGTTGTAACTTAACTGCCTCCCCGACCTCCAGGGAGGGAAGAGGGGCTGGAGATGAAGTTAACCACCCATGGACAATGCTTTAATAAATCATGAAACCTCCAGAAAACCCTAATCGAAGGGGCTCAGAAAGCTTCCAGGTTGGTGAACAAGAACACATCCATGCCCCTGAGGGTGGTGTACCCCAAACTCCACTGGGACAGAAACTCCTGTGCTCGGGACCCTTCCAGACCTCATCCCATGTATCTCCTCATCTGGCTTTATCGTCCTTCATAAGGAACCAGTAATAGTAAGTAAAGTGCTCTCCTGAGTTCTGTGAGCCATTCCAGCAAATCACTGAACCTGTGGAGGAGGTTGCAGAAGCCCCCAGTTTATAGCCAGTCAGTCAGAAGTTCAGATGTCAACCCGAGATTTCTGACTGACGTCTGAAGTGGAGGCAGTCTTGTGGGACTGAGCCCTCGACCTGTGGGGTCTGTGCTGACTCAGGACAGTTAATGTCAGAGTTGAGTTAAGTTGTAGGAAATCCAGGAAACCTCCACCAAGAATTGGAAAAGTACATGATATGGAAAAAACCCCACACATCTGGTGTCAGAAGTGAGAGTATAGAGAAAAAAATGTTTTTTCCTTTTACATGGTGACACATAAAATTCAGTTCTAAACTATTGTCCACACAATGTGCTGTCCACCCTCTCCATTCACATCCCAAACCCCCAGCTGCAGCCTCTTGCTCACTCATCAGCCTTCTCCCCAGGATTAGGGCGGTGACAACATGGGGTGAGATGGTACAGAGGCCAGACTGGAGTCACCCAGCAAGATGTGGAGAGAGATGGAGATGTCAAAGGCCAGAATTTGGAGCAAGAGGTGCCCCCAAAGACGTATACACCCCTTCGAACCTCCAAAGATAGTATTTGATTAGTTCAGGGACAGGAGCCACCCAAGACCACTACTCATCGCTGAGGACCTAAGAACACCCAGTCAGCAGGTGTTTGGAGTATAGATGTAAAGAATTTTAAATGCCCAGTTTTCCCAATAGCCAAAAGGTAGAAATAGCCCAAACATAATCAAGTGATGAGTGGGTAAACGAATTATGGTCTATCTGTACAATAGAATATTATTCAGCAATAAAAAGGAATGAAGTTCTCGTACAAATGTGGATGGGCCTCGAAAACATGCTAAGCGCAAGGCCACATATTGTATGATTCCATTTGTACAAAATATCGAGAATAGGTAAATCCATAGAGACAGAGTGCAGACTGGTGGTTGCCAGGGGCTGGGATGCGGGGAACAGGGAATGACTGCTGATGGGGATAGAGTTTCCTTTTGGGGTAATGAAAACCTTTTGGAACTAGATCGAGGTGATAGCTGCACAACATCGCGAATGTACTCCATGCCACTGGATTTTTCACTCTACGTTCTCAACTTTATGGTATGTGAACTTTACCTCAACTTTCTAAAACATGCCCAGAGCTCCGGCTGACTGTGTCAAATGGACCTTAAACTCCTGCTAGCACCCCCTCATCAGAGCTGCCCCCATGACGGGGACAGACACGCTCACAGTCGCCTCCATGGTCGCAGACCTTGAACATGCAAAGGAAAAGTCGAGAGCTGCAGCCCGCCCTGCCACCACCTGAGGCAGGATCTGGGGGAACCCTCAGAGAGCTCCCCCTCCAAATGACCCCATACAGCCCCAATCTCCGACTGAGCAGAGAGCCAGGTCTCTTAACTGACTCGGAAGCAGGACAAGACTCCAGTGTGGGTGTCCCCAGGCAGGGCTGGATGCTTCCCCTGGTTCCCAGCAGGCTGATTATGGCGCTGGGAGCTGAAGCAGGGCCCGGCAGGCTGGCTGTGAGACAGGTTCCCTTTATGGCGGGTTTTTTTTAGGTGGGGCGCGGGGGGACCTCTTTCATTCCTAACAGCCCTGAGTTAACAGCCTCCACCTAGGAGGGGCAGGATCTGATTCACCATAGCACTCCTATGGCTTGACGGGGTAAGCACAGCAAATGTTTCTGAAAAAAGAAAAGAGAGGGAGGAGAGGAGAGAGAGAGGGGGGATCCTAAAGGATTCAGTGCTGGTGCCTAGATGGCCACCACCCCAGTGGATTCTGATTTATCTGGTCAGGGATGGTGGGTCCAGGACACTCTCCAGGTGATTTTAATGTACAACCAGACATGAGAACCGCTACTCCAGTATGACTATGTATGAGGGTCCTTGAGCTTAGAATCACCTGGGCAGGGTTTTAAGCGATCCTGATGCTCTGGCTCCGTCTCAGACCAATTACATCAGAATCCCAAGGCAGTTGCTGTGTGCGGGCAAGTATTGAGAAGAGTGCGGGACACAGACCCCAGGCAGGGTGGCCTATATGACCATCAGAGTCAAGGTCTGATGCTGACTGGGACGCCAGGGGTGCAGCTCACCTCAGGGCATTCTTCCGAGCAAGGCTAAATTCTGCCACGTGTTCCATGGCCCCAGCACGAGGGTGATGGGAGGCCGTTTTAGGCGAAGATAAGTCTGCCTCCCCGCCCTGAATCTTGGTAACTTCTGCAACAACTAGAGGTCGGTCATTCCTTAAGAGCCTGTGGAGGTCAGAGAGTTCAGGGCTGTGAATCAGGCACAAGCCCTCCCTCAAGGCTTCACAGCCCACAGGCAGAGGTGGACAGGAGGACACAGGCACTTGTAACACAAGGGTGGCACCATGAGTGAGGACATCAGCACAGAGGGCTCCTGGACCTAACAGGCCTGCGGGTGGGGAGATCAGGGAAGGCCTCCTGTGGGAGGTGACTCCGGAAGTGACTTCAGGGAAGGATGCCAGGATAGGGGAGGAAGAAGGTTCTGAGCGGGGGAAGTCACACCTGCCACAGTGCAGAAGCTGGGGCTGTTCTGGAAACATCATATGGTTTGTCATGGCTGGTCCGGAGGATGCAAGTGAGGGAGAGACAGGCCTCGGGCAATGGGTAGGTAGGAAGAGAATAGATAAGGAAGGACCAAGCTAAAACTTGGGCTTTATCTCCAGGGTGGCAGAGAGCCCCTGAAGGTTTTAAGCAGGGGAATGACAGGATTAGAATTACGTTTTGGACAGATGGTATGGTGGGGGAAGGGAGGAGTGAGGTGGACATGGAAGCAGGTTTGCAGGGGCAACGCCGGAGGCAGGAAGGCTGATGCACCAGGACATATGCCCTAAATAGGCCAGACCTGGGGCTGTAAGGGTGGAAGGGGTCAATGGCTTGAGAAGGCCTGGGAGGTGAGCAGAGTGGTGT